GTCGTCCTTCGGCGTCATCGCGTCGACGTCGATCTCGTCCAGCGCGTCGAGGTCGTCCATCGGCGCTGCGGCATCCCCCGGCGTCATCGCGTCGACGTCGATCTCGTCCAGCGCGTCGAGGTCGTCCATGGCAGAAGGGGCGAAAACCAGAACGAAAACCGCCGACTCGAAGGGCGGGAAGCATTGTTTTCTTTTTTACCCTTTCAGACTCTCCGCGTTCGAGTCCAGTCCGAGCCTGGCTGTTCTTCACCTTTCTACCTACCTACTCAGACTCTCCGCGTTGGTGTCCAGTCCGAGCCTGGCTGTTCTTCACCTTTCTATCTAGCTACCACCTACCTATAGACTCTGTGCTGGTTCGCGGTTTCGCCGGAGATCCCATGCGTCAAACCCGAAAGGGTTGGAGGGCCTCTCGCTGGGAGGAAGGTCACCTGTAGCTCGAGTTTTTCTTTATCTTCGTGAGTGGGAGACTAGGGGGTTATGCACTACTCTCTGAGGCCTCCGACCCCCTCTGAGGACGGGTCGGACCCCAGGCTTGGCGGCACAGAGGGTTTGACTCTGACTCTGTGCCGCCTCTGTGGCCTCTCTTGGCTGATTTTGGCCTCAGAGGGTCCCTGGCCGAGGGTCTGTCTTGGCGCGGCACAGAGGGCTTTGACCTCAGATGGCTGCCCCCTCACGGCAGAGGCGAGAGCCCCGGGCGGAGGCCGGAGCTGCCTAGCCCTCCACGAATGGCGCTGACCAGTGAGGCGGGGAGGGGTGGTAGTAAAACATTATGACCAAGGCGCTATGACCAAGGCGCTACGCTATGCTCGAGCGCCCGGCACCACACACGCTTACTGCTGCTGCAGGCTCACAGCGCCCGCGCCGAGCCCTGCGCGACAGCTTCGCGCGGCCCGCGGCGCCGACCCGTCAACTTGAGGATGTGCTTGGAGCGGCCGCCCGAGGAGGAGGTAGTGATCTCCACGTCCATCCCCTGCTCCAGCTTGGCCATGTTGAGGCGCCACGGCGTCCGCGTGAACTCGAACTTGAGGTATCCGAAAAATGGAAACTGGGGGGGGTCTCTTTGCTTGGTGGGGGATCACGACAGACTTGAAATACCGCTGAAAATCCCCTCTGAGGAGCGGCCTCGCGGGGCTTGCCTTGGCGTCTCAGAGGGTCCCCGTAGCCTCAGAGGCTGCGCCGAGAGAAGGCTGTTGGCGGCACAGGCCTTCAGAGGGTCGGCCCAGGCACCCTTTGAGCCGCTCGTGGATGGCCTCTCTTGGCACAGAGGGTACCCTTTGAGACGAGCAGATCTGGGCCCGCTGCTTGCCTTTTTGCCCCCCCCCCCCCTCTGATACAACCGGTATCCGCTTCACCCTTGGGTTTCTTGCCGTCGTGCCTGGGCCGTCCCAGCTGTGAGCAGGGTGAAGGTATCCGCTTTCTCTTTGTGTGCGGCGGAGTTTTGTTATAAAATTCAGTTCGCACCTGTGTCGAGCCTGTGTGCTAAAAGAAGAAAGAAAACAGACAACCCAAGGGAGGGATGGGAGGACGGTACGCCGCCACCACACAGGGATTTTAGGGGAGAAGTGTGGTGTTAGCCGTCGCCTACCCTCGGGCGTCTACCACTTCCTATCTCTCTCCGCAGTTTATCACCAATTCTTGCAGCGACCTTCATGTGCCACCTCGCATTCTTCTCACTCTCGTCGTTCTCTCTCCTGCTGTCTCTTCCCCTGACTCATCGCTCTCCTCGGCCTCGTTCTGAGACGCCGCTGTCGTCTGCCGATCTCTTGCTCTCGCTGCTTCTCTCGCCTTTCTGCGTAACTCCGCTCTCCTCTCCGCGTATTTTGGTCCCTCGAGTTTATCGAGCATTCCTCGCGCAAGGACCACATTTCTGACTCCCACTGCGAGCATATCCCGCCCTGTCATGTCGTTGCTCAGGTCCACTCTCGTTTCGAGCACTTGTACCTCAACGGTCGGTGTTGGCACTGGGGTTCCCTTCGGGTATATTGTGACAGCTGACGGCGGGATTTCCACTTTTGTTTCGTCCTCCTCGGGGTCGTCTTCCCCGGCTTCCTTGCGTTCGGCGTGGCTTACCCTCCATGCCGTGAACAGGCGCTTTATCCACTCTATATTCTTCTCTCGTTCCTCTGCCCGTGTCTTGGTCTTGTCGTTGTTTCGCACCCATGTCTGTATGGCCATCGAGGCTGCCTTCCCCACTACCTGTAGTTCACTCGTCCAGGCTGTGAGAGAGAGTCCAGATTGAATCTTTTTGTAAAATTCTCCATGGCGCAAGCACACGAGCCTCCGCTCAACTTTGGTCTCGTGGCGCCGGGAATCTACCGCTCAGGCATGCCAGGCCGCAACAGCGTGGCCTACTTACGGCGACTCGGCCTGCGAACGCTGGTGCGGCTGGTCGACGGCCCGGCCTACCCGCCGGCGGTGGAGGAGTGGATTGCTGCGGCCGGGGTTGCGGTCATTGATTGTCGCGTCGGGACCAACCGCGAGCCTCTCGTCGCCATGGACGGTGGCGCGCTCGCCGAAGCGCTGGCAGCCGCCCAGCGGCCCGAGCGTCAGCCGGTGCTGGTGCACTGCTTGCGCGGCCAGCGCGAGACTGGCGTCCTGGTCGGCTGCATGCGACAGCAGCAGCGCTGGTCCCTCGTGGCCACGTTTGACGAGTACCGACGATTCGCTGGCTCCGCCGCCTCTCTCCTCGACCTGCAGACGATTGAGTTGTTTGGCGGCGCGAGCACGCCGCCGCCGCTGCCGCCGCTGCCGCCGCTGCCGCCGCAGGCGCCGCTGAGCAGCAGCGAGAAGATGCCGCCGCCGCCAGCAAGGGTCAGACGGCCGAGTGGGCCGACTCGGCTCTTCTAAACGTCCAGTTCTCCCGTCGCACCTATTTTTGTTTTGCTCGATGGAGCTCGCCGACCGCGGGCGAGAGACGTGTACCGTTCAGAGTACGCTCTCTCTTTTCATTTTTGGTAACACGTTAGTCGTTACAGAGATACCAGATGCATGCACATGTACATCTGTGCATGCACCAAAACGGACCGCGCGGATAGATGCTAGGTCGCGCCGACCGCGGCTTCCCACAGCGGCTGTACGACAAAGAGCGCCAAGGCCAGCGCCTGCATACCAAACAGGATGAGGTAGCCCGAGGCGACGCCGGCACGCCCCGCGAGGAGGGAGCGCTCGAACTCGTCCAGCACGAAGACGGCAGGCTCCGGCCGCCACCGGCCGAGCTGTCTCGCAACCTCCTCGGGCGAGACGTACGAGGAGCCGCCCGAGAGCGCCGTCCACGCCGCGTCGACGGCGAGCGCGCTGGGCGGTTGCTGGCTGCCCCGCCCCGTTCCTCGGGTAAGGGAGGGGAGGGGGGAACCGTCCCTGCCGCGCAGCTGCGCCCCTCGATGCCTAATCGATCGCGAGACGGCGCTACGCACTGTGTTGGTGTCAGTACGCTATAGGCCATAAATAATATGTTACCTTTACACCCTCGGGCCGGAACGCCCCGCCCATACAGGACATCTACATGTT